AGCCACCAGGTTACAGCAACGGTGACCCGACGCAGGCGTGCCAGCTGTTAAAGTCCGTCTACGGCCTCAAGCAAAGCCCCATGCTGCTGGTACGAGAAACTGGCGGCGGAGTTGGGCAAGCTAGGCTATGAGCCGTCTATGTCCGACCCCGCACTATTCGTCAAGCGCGGGTCCGACGGCTCAATCTATGTGCTCGTGCACGTTGACGACATGCTGGTGGCGGCACACAACCTGCAATTGGTCGCGGCCGCCAAGGCGGCCATAGCTGGTTGCTTCGCAGTACGAGACCTTGGAGAGGCGCGCTACTACCTCGGCATGGACATCATCCAGGACCGCCGCAAACGCAGCATCATGCTTACGCAGCACAGTGCTGGGCATCACTTAGATCGCCAGAGGAGGAGTGCTGAGGGCTTTGAGGATCGGCCTCAGTTAATTCCTTTTTTCCAAACGCCAAAATGGCCTGTTTATTACTTTTAAGGAATATATTACTTTAAAAAAAGACACTGAGCTGAGTACCGGCCATAGAGGGCTGTCCTTGCTGCTGTGAATTAATGCGAAAAACGATAGTCTTCAAACCGGTAACCAGCCCCGGTTACTGCCCAGTAACGATCAACCTGGTAACCCAATCGTAACCACCCCCATTAACGACCCCCGGTAACCATCCACCTGGTAACCGGTCTCCGCGTACCCCATTAACGGCCACAATTGCCCGATAACCGGGCAAGTCTATGTGGTAGGGCTTCGTGAGTCTGGAGCCCACTGTTAAATCCCCCCTCCACACCCACATCTTAAATAGCAGCAAAAAGTATATTGGGTGACAGCCTTCTGCGATAACATTTCACTATGGGCCGGTTTCCATTAGACAGTTAGCATGGACTTTTAAGGTAACTGGGAGGCTAAAAGTCAGGCACTGGAAGCACATGACAGTTAGCCATGACAGTTAGCCATGAAGCACATGACAGTTAGCCACTTGAAGCACATGAAGCACATGACAGTTAGCCATATTAGCTCCTGCTACGAGTCTATTGCCATTGCCATTTCTGTTACAGATATTGGCTGTGCTCTTACGGCCTGATCGATGAAAAGGCCGCACCGAACCAAAAGGAAAAGAAATAATGTAGTAGAGCGAAAAGGGCGGGCGACGCGGCCTCCAGGGTGGGAGGGCGGGGCGCGTGCTGAACAACAAAAACAAGATACAGAAAACCTGCAACACGCGCTATTTATGCAAAAGACGATCCTGAGGACACGGATCGCCGGCCTCAAGTCGTACCACTTAAAACGGCCGTAAGGCCCTACGCCTTAGCTAACCCGGCTCAAGCTTCGCATAGCCCGCATTAGCTCCTGCTACGAGTCTATTGCCAAAAGGAAAGACACCCCCTCTCAGCGGTTAAAGTACTGACCCATCACCGGCGCGACACGCCGGGCCGCGAGAGGGCCAAAGAAGGCGACCGCACGAGGGCAGCCACGGACCCCCAAATCGAGGTAGTTCTCCCGCAACGCCGACGAGCCTGCGGCCCAGCCACCAAATGCTTCGATGATATCCAGTGGCACTCCCGCCGCACGGGCGGCCGAGGCACCACCCCGCCGCAAACTATAAAGGGTGTGGACGGAACGAAGGCCCTCCAGGCCACACTGCGCCAAAACACGATCGAACCAACGCTCGCCCCCTGAGTCGTCTGGCGCTCCGGCCATAAACG